GTAAACAGTGACAACATTAGTTTCTCATTACACACATACCTGCTGTTCTCAGGAGAGTTTCACCCGATCAATGAGCCATTAGAAATGGGCTTTTTATCGCTAATTGCTAATCTTAGTTTCCATCTCATAAACGCTGTTTAGGCAGTTTTGTGAAACATCCATTCAGATCTCACCTGTATGAGAAGCAAAAAGGTAAAAAAAATAAAAAAAAACCTTGTGCTAAATGGCTTCTTAATGTCTTTGTAGCGCTTTCATTTTTTCTCAATTCCTAAAAATCAATCAATCCTTTCTTCCAAGGCAACAGGATCAAAAAGTCATTGTTCACCCCATGTGAACCATCAAGAAACGTATCACCGCTTCACCAGCAATTAGAAGCATAATTAATTTCATTTACTCACCCTCATGTTGTTCCAAACCTGTATGACTCCATGTTCCATGGAACATAAAAGAACACCAGACCAAAACTTAAGTAAATTCCTGTCAAATCTTCCCATCTGCCTTGGCTCTTATTTGCACTTTCGAATTCAAACTTGGCAGAAGTTGGCACCATAGGCGATTCCAGACCTATTTAGGCTTCAGCCCCCCTAAAAATCTGCGGTTTAGCTGCCGGCGTCCTTAAAAATCTGATTATGTAATCTTTTTTTCACATTTGCTGAAAACAGCGGCTGCAGTAAGCTACTTGAGGTTATTCCCCTCTGAAAGTGCAACCAAATACACCACCATCACTAATAAACATCTACTGACAAATGCCTTTTTAATTAGTTCATTAAAAATTGTCAGTCGAGCAAGACTTAAACTTGCAAATCACACTTTAAGCAAGATATAATGATCTGAACCACAACATCTCATATTCATGGGCTCATGGATCATGGGCTAAGCGACTTTATAAGTAGAATCCTAGAAGACATGCAAAAACCAAATGCATTTTTTGCATCAATGACACCATTCTTATGTTAAATATATGTAAATAATTTATATTCATTTCATATCATATAATTTACATAAGTATTATATTATAAA